TTCGAACTACAATAACATTAATAAATAAAAAAATACTTGTTTGATTTAAGTGATTTTAGTTTTAATTTGTTGTCAATACAAAACATTTATTAATACTAATACTGGCAGAAATATCATTTATTTTAAAACAGCAAGTACCTACCTAAATTAGAATCAAATTTTGTTTTGGTCTACTAATTTGGTCAATAGAAAACTGCATTTAGCTTAAAAAATTAATATTACACTAAGCGTACAAACTATAAGAAAAACTTCTTTGGTATTAGCTACCCAAAAATACTAAATTATTTATAAAATTCTCAAAACTGAATTCATAACTTGATGATAAGTTAAGTGTAAATGAAAACGGACAATTTTCAAAATTTGGTTCAAAGTAACCTTCCTTTTGATGTATACATGCTTGCATAGCACACGCTTCCTTATCTCTGTGGCGAAGCAACCATACTCAACAATGAGCAAATAAACTGTATTAAATGCTCAATAGACGGCGTTAGGATCGGTTAGGTGGCGCTATGGTTTCGTTAGGTACCGTACCGGCGAAAGTATAGGTTTCGAGCTTCTGAATCAATTATATTTTGGTGTCAGCATCTAGCACTGTGATTAATTTTTTCGCTCGCTCAATACCTAATAGGTTTGATCTGATTAATAAAGTGTTTTTTTTTTCAGGTAGATATTATTATCTAAAGTAGGTAGTTATTGTTTTCTTGTCGTTTTAAGTCGCTTTGTTCATTGTTTAGGTTGATTGATACAGTAGCTGTATATTAGTTAGGTGAAGTTGTTTAAATTGAAAAGAACAAATACCATTTGTGGTAATACGAAAATAACTCCTTCTATCTTTTGTTCTTTCACGCCTAAACGGCTGAACGGATTTTGAAGAAACTTGGTATGAAGGTAGTTTGAGTCCTGAAAAAGCAAGGCATTGCCGCGGCAGAACTTCTCATTACCACGGAAAAAATAAAAAAAAATTAAAACGGAGAGCTATTTGATTGTACACCTGTCTTTAACGGCAAAACGGATGTACTTACGTGATTTTTTAACTGAAGTTAGTTGAAGGTTGAAGGGATGCATAGTCACATATATCATCACACAGACTACTTTTTATCCTTTTGTGACGCGAGCGAAGCCGCGGGTATAAGCTAGCATAAATATAAAATGCAATTAAGTGAAGTCGCTGAAATGTGCGTCATCTCAGTTCATGGAGTAGGCCTACTAAATAAACAAGTTCAAAAAGGCGCTTAATACACTGTTGTAAAAATGACCGTATTTTATAAAACATGACATATAAAAACGTGATTCTTAGATACTCAATATCTCAGAAATCTGGAGACTCCTAAAAAATATACAGATCATTTTTGTAAACAATAAAGCTACAACTTTGATTAATTTTATGATAGAACTTACTAAGTATTTTTTTGTTTTATAATAAAAGAATAAATAACTGCAAATTCTGATACTAAACCTAACTTTTGAAGGACACATGGGATCTACAGCTTGACTGACAGTATTTGCTCTTCCGTAATATTTATTATTTCAAATGTCTACTTAGAAAAGTTTATTTCAAATTCTGAGAGCTTGGTAAACTATAATTACACACAAAAAATGTATGTCCTCGACTCCTCGATTATCTCGCGATTGGCTGAATCGACTTTAATGCGGTTCTCAGGTAAGTGCTTTTATTTAGCTTACCCCATTTGTATAATAAGATAGTATAATGTTCTGCGTTTTCGCTTTTTCGTAACCACCTAAACTTGGTCGGGTTACCACGGTCATTCACTTCCTAATGACTTTAATCGTATTATCTCATTAATTATCCAATGTACTGAGCTAAAATTTTACTGATATACAACTGAACAACTAATTATTGGCATAACATTCAGTTCATATACAGTGGCCAAATAACACCGCGCGCATCAAGACCGTGCTCGCGAAGAACTCAATATCATAATTGGTTTTTTTATTGCAGAACAAATTTTAACAAATTCCTAAGAAGCCATGTACAAAATATGATAATAATCCGTTTAACCATTTCAAAGATCTAGCTAAACGAAAAACGTTAACCCAGCAAAATCTCGAATAACTTCACAACCGATGAAAGAACAAATACAAAATAAGGTACAACATTTACTTCATCTAGGCAACTAATTTTATAGCTAGTAATTATTTAAATATTTCCATTAGAAAGAAAAAGGTCTGGCTGGGGTAACATTACCTCAGCAGGAAATGTTTATGTGCAATAATTAAAAAACTATAAGTGCAACTTTAAAATTGTGCGTAACAATTATAGAAGCTGCAGAACTAATTATCTGTAAGATTTAAATGACCATTTTCGACAACATCAGGCCTGGGTAACGCACACAGTCATTCTCAATAGCCACCAATGGGGCCATCATGGATGATGGAGACAAAGGGAAATGACCAACGATGAATGTAAATAAAACTCTGCACTGTTTTTGTAATAAATTACACTGAAGTTTATTTTTCATCCTGAATACATATTGACCATGTTACTCATCCAATGTTGCATTAGCATCATCAGTTCACAACTTTATTACAACTCACTCAACATACATTTCTTATGCCTTACGGCAGTATTTTTTTTTTTTTGTTTTATTTAACTAGTTACAAAATTCTAAAATTTGATAATACAATGAAATTTAAGCATTCTTACAGATACCACTAAGTCCATTTAGCATTGAAAATAAATGATCATCATGATATTAATAATAAAAATTGATTTAAGTTCCACTTTTATATATATATTTTATACAATTTCAACTAAAACACGCTCACTGCAGGGAGAGGCAGATCGGGGTGCAATCATACGTCCAAACGAACACTATACATTGTATACATTTGTAAAAAGTATCAAAATCGAGTAAAAGGCCTACAAAAAATTATCTCGAGATACTAATATTCGTTTACGTAATAACCTAAAAATTGTCCTATTTAACACTGGAATCGCCGACGACGGCAGTGGCGCGCGGCGCGTCTAGCGTTAAAGGGTAACAAACGTAGGTATTTCAACTATTTGGCTTAATTATATTTATATAATGAGAGGAGCGCAAAACGAAAGCGGTGCGGCTCATGGAGCGAGGAGCGCGCGGTGTGTGTGGAGGGAGGCGGCCCCACTAGTCCTCCGCCTCCTCGTCCTCCGACTCTTGCTGCTGCAGCCATGTCAGCCACGTGTTGACCTGCAAAGTGCCACACGATAGAAGTGACCGCTAACTACCTTCAGTAACGGCATGGATGCGTCTGGAATGGTATCTGGCGTATGGCAATAGCCTTGCGCTCTATCACGTGAAACTTATCGCGTTGTAGTCTAAGCCTTACTCATTTACTTATCCTGCAGTAGCAGGAACTCATTAAAAATATTAAAAGTCAAAACCATATATTTCAATAGGACCAGAAAGGCACTTTTATTAAAAAAAAAAATGTTTATGCGTCCCGATTAGCAAGTTGGGTTGTTTTTATCTTATTGTGTTTTTAAACAGTTTTATTTAGCTTGAACTGTTTGCATGTTTAGGTCAAATATGTATAGTAATAGCAATTCCCCCTTTCGTTTTTGGTACACACTCTTAATTTTATGACCTTGCAATAAATATATTTAATTGTGAGTACTACAGTAGCTACCATGTATAAGTAAATAGGTCACCTGGAACAATGCCTCTCCCTTCCCGGGGTAGGCATCCGTGACGTCCTCGCGCCAGCGCAGGAAGGCGTCCTCCTCGCACACCTCCAGATTGTACAGGTACATGAACCAGCGCAGTAACATGCCTGCAACCAATGCCAACCAACCTATATACCTTAACCCAACCACCTATTCCTTATGTGGAGCGGTATCGTTCATGAGATAATAAATAAATCAATTCTAAACTATTATAAATAAAATTACTTAAACTCATATACCAGCTTCTGCCCGCGACTCCGTACGCGCTATCCTGTTTTGTCCCGTTCCCATAAGATTTTCAGGGTTTTTTTGATTATTCTGATAAGAACCTTCTCCTGACAATAACAAACACAACCAAAAATAAGTCGGCCAAATCAGTGCCAGCCATTCTCAAGTTATAAGCATGACCATGGGGTGGGTCAAATGGGTGGAAATGGGTTTCATTTTGTTATATCTTTTTAAATATAATTCTTCTGTGAGTTTGATGTCACTGAACTTCTCTCAAACGACTGGACCAATTTTGATGAAATTTTTTGTGTGTGTTCAAGGGGACCTGGGAATGGTTTAGATTCACAAACCAGCCCGGCAGATGGCGCTGCAGTCGGTTACTAGGTTATTTATCCTAAACGGCTGAACTAATTTGAATGAATTTTTTGTTTATACATTCAAGTGGATATGCAGGACAACGTCTGTCGGGTTCGCTAGTATAGATATAAAACTGAAGAGTTTGTTTGTTGGTTTGAACGCGCTCATCTCAGAAACTAGGTCTGATTTGAAGCTAATTTAGCGATGAAGGCTATGTAGAAATCAAATGTTTTATTTGTAAACAAGTAAAATTAATAACTAACAGGTAAAAAAAATAAATAAAAATTAATAATAACAGTAGTTGTTACAGATATGTCGCATCCTCTATGTTTTGCCCTATTGTTTCACCCTTATGAGGCGAATGTAGAAATGTATTATTGAATATACATCGGCACAAAAACACTGAAAAACGTGAGCCAGGTGATAGCTCTTTGTCGCCTCAGAAGGGTGGGAGGGCCAAGTGAGTCTCAGTGGGGGTCGAGTGATGATGGAGTGGAGACAGAGTGAGGATAGAATTGGGGTCGAGTAAGGATAGAAGTAAAGCCAAATGAGGATAAAGTGGGGGACGAGTGAAGATTTAGTAGGGGCCGAGTGAGAATCGAGTGGGGGCCAATTGAGGATCGAGTGGCGCCAATTGAGGATCGAGTGGGGGTCGAATGAGCACCTTTAGGGTAGCGGTGGTGGTGCGCGTGCACCTGCACGGCGTACACGGCGGCCAGCTGCAGCTGGGGCTGGCCCTCCAGCAGCGCCGTCAGCAGCGGCGCGTACGCCTCCAGCAGCGCCTTCTCGCGCTCCAGCGCCGCCTTGTCCGGCGCCGGCGTTGCAGCCCCCGCCGCGCGCGACACGTGCTCCGCCACCAGCGCCACCAGCGACGACACGAACGCCGCGTTGGCGCGCACGCTGGGCTCCACGTTGGCCTGTGGGGACACGACTCGTTATATATCGGGGCTCTGCCTGCCGCCACGCCAGCCGTCGACGGACGCACCTTGATCCAGCGGTACAGCGCGTGCGGCGCGGGCTCGGCGGCCAGCTGGCGCGCGAGCTGCGCCTGCACGCGCAGCTGCGGCACCAGCGCCGCCAGGCCGCGCGCCTCCAGCGCCTCCAGCGCCTGCGGCGGCTCGGCCCCGCCCGGCGCCACGTGCGCGCACACGTTGAGCTGCGCGTCCTCGCACAGCGCCATGGTGCGCGCGTCGCCGGCCGCGTCGCGCAGCGCCTGCAGCACGTCCAGCAGCAGCGGGTGCAGCGCGCCCGCCTCGCACCAGGCCGCCAGCTCGGCCAGCGCCAGCGCCTGCTGCAGCAGCGCGGCGGCCAGCAGGCGCGGCAGGCGCGGGTGCGGGTGCGCGGCCTGCACGAGCGCGCGCCAGGCGTCGGGCGCGGCGCGGCGCAGCGCGCGGGCGACGCGCACGGCGGCGCGCAGGGCGGCGTCGTCCCCGCGCGGCGCGTGCAGCGCGTGCTCGAGCACGGCGGCCAGACAGCGCCGCACCAGCTTGTCGGCGGGCTGCAGCGCGCGCAGGGAGCGCAGCGCGTCGAGCTCTGCGTCGTCGTCGGCGGTGAGCGCCTCGTCCACGGCCTGCAGGGCCAGCCGGCACGCTTCCTCCTTGTTGGGGCCCTGCGCCGCGTGATATTTATTTATATTTTTTTTCATCGACCGACCTCGATGTATTTCGGTTGAAATGTGTAACATAGGGACAAACGCTATTAATTTAACGCGTATTTTAGTACAATAAATATATTTGCAGTCAATACTTCTGCTTCGTTAAATACTACACCACCTCCTGAGACTTGGAAACCGAGACAAGATTCCGGTCATTTGACTGAATTCAACTGTACAGTTCACATAAACAAGGAATAACAAAAAAGGGATGATAGAACATCGATAGGCCATACCTTATCCTTTTTCGGCTTGTCTTTCTTGTCAGCGGCCGGCTTGATGGTGATCGTGGGTTCCTTCAGTAGCTGCGGCGTGCTCGCGAAGGCAGGAGTCAGTACGTCTGTAGGAGTCGGCACTACGTCAGTACACGGCATACATACAGACATACATACATAGCGCGGGACACAGGACACTCACTCTGCTGCACGGGCGCCAGCGGCAGCTGCGGCTGCGGCTTGGACAGCTTGTTGGCGGTGAACATGAGCGAGTTGGCGGCCGGCCGCATCTGGACGTCCGCCAGCGCGCCCGCCGTGTACACGCGCGCCTTGTTGGAGCGCGAAGACCCGTCCTGCGACACGCAGTGCAATTCCACGATCATATACATTCAACGTTTCCGTTCGGAAGAGACGATAACGCAGTACAATGAAAACAACGAGCGTTCGCACCGCGACGACACGTAAGTTTACCTTGGAACCGTTGCCCTGCTGGTTGGTCTGCGAGTGTTTGTTGTAGTGCAGGTTGTTGCCCTGGCGCGGGTAGTAGCCGGGCGCCGAGCGCTGGCGGAAGCCGTCGCGCGAGGCGCCGAAGCCGTTACCGAAGAGCTTGTCGGGCGCCGGCACCAGCGCCGCGGCCGGCTGCAGGCTGAGGCCGGCCAGCACGTCGTCCAGCGGGCGCGCGCGCAGGCCGCCGCGGAACAGGGAGTCGCGCTCGCGGTCGCGGTCGCGCTCGCGCTCGCGGTCGCGGCGCGGCACGTGGTCGTCGTCGGCGCGCAGCTGGTGGATGGGCACGGGGCCCTCGGCCGACACGGCGGCGCGCGGCACCCAGCCGCCGCGACGCAGCTCCACCTGCACGGACCTCGCTTGTCAACAAACATTTTGATGGCGAAATAAATCATTCTCGACATTTTAACATCCAAAATTGTAATTTATATTTTTTTTTTCATTTGTATTTCTCTAATTTTATATTACCACTAGCTGTGCCCGTAGCTTCACTCACGCAGAATTTTGTATTTTTAGGCTTTAATCTAAATATACATAGTGATCTATCAATGCACAACCCAAACCACTCGACGCATGGTTTTGCATAATTTATTAATATTCGCGTCCGCGAATATTCGAACATCACTAGTGCTACTATCACTAGTATATAGCCAGAATATTAAAATATAATTTATACAAGTTTCATCGTAATCAAACTGGTAGTTTTTACGTGGGATACACGACCATTTTTGGGTTCGGTGTCTATATGTCGTAGGATAATTTGATACTTCGAATCTTCGCGGAAATCCTAGGGGTTTTGCGAAAACGCGGATAATTAGACATAGCCGAAAAATTATCAAATCTTACTGGACAAAGTCAGGATTTTTGCGAAAATACTCATTACTATAGTAAGATTGCGAAACGAAACGCTGGCTGTTATGAAATAAGAACGCTGATTGGTCGGTCAGCGCGATCAATAAGAGATCGTCTCTGATTGGTTGACGTCTTAAATGATTTTTCGTCGTCTTAAACGACCAGTTTCATCCAATTTATGGATTACACCCTAAAATTGGATCATATTTTTTACTACGACTGAGATCTCCTATTGTCTGTAGAAAACAACATACATACTAAAATTTTCAATAAAAAGTTTACAAAAATCAATTTAGTGATTTTCCCTTCTCACCTATTCTAAACCTTCATATCTGTATGATACAATACTTGAAGTTAATCATCGGCAAACTAGGAACCAATTAGAAGTCAGCCAGCAAAATTGTAGCCAATCAGTGTTGAGCACATCAAATCTTACTATAGTAACGAGTATTTTCGCAAAAATCCTGACTTTGTCCAGTAAGATTTGATAATTTTTTGCCTATGTCTAATTATCCGCGTTTTCGCAAAACCCCTAGGATTTCCGCGAAGATTCGAAGTATCAAATTATCCTACGACATATATAATTAAACCCCTCACTATTTATTTGTTTTTCGTATTTTCCAATATACAGAATTTACACTTGTACAGTTTTATTATGTATAGAGAAGAGGAAATAGATTTACAACGTGGACGGTAACGTCGCACGAGGTGTATAGGTATATAGTACCGTGTCGCGCAGCATGAAGCGGATGCGCGGCGCCAGGTCGCGCGAGGCGGAGAGCGTCTCGATGCGCGCGAAGTACTGGTCCATGAGCCCGCGGCCGCGCTCCGAGTCCAGCACGCGGCCGCAGGTGCGCACGAGCTGCGCCAGGCACTCCAGGTCCTCGTGGTGCTCCGCGGCCGCGCGCCGCGCCAGCAGGTTCTGGATGCATCTATGCAGGATGGACTCGGCTAGGATTTCCAGCTTGCCGAGCTCCCCGATAAATTTGATGTTGCCTAACATCTTGCATTTTGCGAGATGTCGCTTTTCCTCCTCTTCCGGCAACAACGCTTTGTCTTCGAAAGCGGCGAACGCCTATGGAAAGATGTAACAAGACAGTGAGATTTGTGCGGGTTCAGTCCTGTGTACGTGAGATGCGAAGTGTTGTACATACCTGAGCGCGGTTCTCGAATTCGGTCCGGCATTTGTTCAGAAGCAACAGTTTGAACGTGCAGGGCTGACCGGGAGGTTCAAAGTTCGGTGCCTCTTCACTTAGTCTTTTGCACAGCTGTGCATACATCGACGAATATTTGGGCTCGTCGAGTGCCTTCTCGAAAATAAGGAGGATCACACCCTTAAGCACCTTGTCGGAGTCGAGCTCCAAACCGAGCAAATCATCGCTCAGTTTCTGGAACTTCTCCGGCGTGAGCTTATTGAGGATGCCCCTCACCTGCGAGCAGAGAACGAGTGTCAGCGGGCGACACAGATGGCAAGCCAGTAACAGTACGATCAGTACTTACTTTCCGGAATATGATGTCGTGCTTGGCATCTCCGTCGGGCACCTCGTGGTGGCGCAGACAGGAGGGCGGGACCCAGCGTCGCCTCGGCGGGGGGACGGGCGTCCGCCCCGAGGCGCGCGGCGCGGGCCCCGGCTGCCGCGCGCTGTCCGTCTTGCCGCCGGTGTGGACTCCGGCGCACTGCCGCGCTCTGCTCCGCGCTCGGTGGCCGCGCTTGGTGGCCGCGCTCAGTGCACGCTGCAGCGCTATGCGCTTGTGCTACGCCTCCGCGACCGGCCCTGACGAATACAAATACATAAGTCATGTAATAAGATTAAACAATAATTTCACAAAATGTATGCATCCGCTCAGCTTCTGTAACGTTGCCCGAGTTCCGGGATAAAATGTATAATTCCAGGCTATCTTTGTATCAAATATCGTTTAAATACGTCCAGTAGTTTTTAAAAAAGTAACAAACATACGTTGCGACTGCCTCGTTGGCCGAGTGGTCGCAAGTGCGACTGCCGTCTAGGGTCTCCGGGTTCGATTCCCGGGTCGGGCAAATTATTACTACGTTTTTTTAAAAAAAAGTCTGGTCTGTCTAGAACTGTGCCCGATATGGCAATAGGCTCACTCTCTATTACATGGGACTCATAACATAAATAGGAAAAAGTGGGTGTTAAAATGGTACAGTGGCATAATGTGCATCTTTGCCTACCCCTTCGGGGATAAAAGGCGTTATGTTATGTTAACAAACATACGTATACGCAATTACATACATTTTCCGAAATTACGCATTTGGTTGGATTTCGTATTCGAAAAACGTAATTGATTCATCACTCTGTCTGCAGTATCGTGTCGATAGATTCAGGTTATCCTATTATCTTTTTTTTAAGGGGGAAAAATCATTGAATTATTTCCCCCGCCTGGGTGAGGCGGGATCCGAGTGTCAGACTCTTACCGACTAAAAACCACTCCGTTCCTACTCTTGCGCTTCGACCGGAGTCCCGGTGACCCGTTAGGTTCTCCACGACATTCTATTATCTACTAGCATCTGTCAGCGACTTTTCCCGCGTTGCCGGGAGTAAAAAGTAACCAAATTTCATCCCGGTATCTTCAGCCGTTCGTGTCCGACACACAAACTCACATATTTTCACATTTATAATATCGGTTCAACCCAATCTCAACCATCGGCCTAGGCAGGCAACCTAACATATTACAAACGTATGTGTGTGTAGGGATTGAGCCGCACAATTAAGTTTGTTTTATCGTGTACATACTTTTTCGGAATAAAAAGTACCCAGCGCTGTGCCCATGATATTAAAGTATAATTAATCATATGGAGTATCATCGCCATCAGACCGGTAGATTTTGCGTGATGCGTGAGCAGTGAGACTGGCAGAAAATGTTTAATCACATGTTTAGGTTCTGTATATCTTGTAACACCCCCCCAATTATTCATTTTTTTTTAATATTTTCATTGTACACAATTTACACTTCTAGTTTTTAAATTAAATGTATAGATAGATAGCCTAAACTACATAATTATATAAATCTGAAGAGTTGGTTTGTTGTAACGCGCTAATTTTCGGATCCAAAACTATCGGTTTGAATTAATTTTGTGTTGGACAGTCCATTTATCGAGGAAGGCTATAAAACCTCCCGCTACGACTACGATCAATAACACCCAAGTACCATAATTTATTATTGACAAGAAACTGCCCGATTATGTATAATACATGATAATCAAATAAATAATAATCACCCGTTATGACAAAGATCAAAATAACATCAACATGAAAGAAATGAGTGCAAGATGATAATTAACTAGTTATGTTAAATGTATAAAACCTGTGCAAAAGCTACGGAATCCATGTCATGTAGTAAACGACCGAGAACATATCATAAAAATCACGGCCTTTTCCAAGGCCTTTGACAAGATATGAGACCTGTAAGCCCTAGTTAACACGCTGTGACCACCGACTAAGGAAAATGGCATTTTGATACAATTTCGATAAGTTCTATTGAATCTGACGAGTACTTACAATTGGCTGCTGCGCAACGCGTCGCGGGTTAGAATTCCGCACGGAGCAACTCTTTGCGTGATCCACAAATTGTTATTCCGGGTAAAACAAAATATTTATTTGGCGGAAGGTAAGCTTACGAAGATAAAAAGGAAAATCCGGTTAAATGCAAGTCGGACTCGTGCTCGGAGTGTTCCTTGGTATTGTTCATTTATTAAACTGTCAAACACCGAGCGGTCACCGGTGACCGCAACCTATTGTTCTTTAATTGTGTCTATAATGACGGTACTCAACGACTGAACTCCGAACAATAAATAGAATTATTAAAATCAACATTGTTGTATGGGAGCCCACCCTACATATATAATTTTAGTATATTATGTTGTTTTGTTATTATTTATTTATTTAATACTCTTCAAGCGCAACGTTTACAATAGGTGGACCTAATGCCACGTGCATTTTCTCCCAGTCTGACCTGTATTATAGTGGCAACAGAAATACATCATCTGTCCAAATGTCAATTGTATAGCTCATGAGGCATGTATACACACAGACTGATGACAGACAGACGGACAGACGGGCAGAGACTTAATAAATAGGATTCCCGTTATTACTATGGAACTCTAAAAGGTGAAGATTTTGCAGATTCTCATCTCAGTTCAGAGGAACGCGCATTCGATAAGACTCACGCGAATCGAATAACTATAACGAGGATGGATATTATATTGGTCTTCAAAAGCCTGACAAAATATGAAAATTGTGTACTGATTGTCGCAGTTTCTATATTTTAAGTGTAGTCCGCCGACAGGTGAGATGGCGACGGTCGTCGGCCGCGCCCGCGCCGGCCGTAGACCTCATCTCGCAACCTCCCCCCCCTACCCCTACGCCGCACCGCCCGGGTCTCCGACAAACGTCTATGAACAAATACAAGCCTTCAGCCGAGCCTTGTGTAGAGCGACCGAAGCAGAACAGTATCGAAGACATTAAATAATTTGATTAGTTCGAGCTCAATGATGAGAGATTATGAAGTTTGGACGACAACGTGGCAATGACGGTCGATAGCGTCGCGACGCGAGGTCAATGGCCGGCGAAACCTTGGCGGTGCCACTGCAAGGTCGTACGTCCGCGGCCGCCAGCTGTCGCCTCCGCACTCCACTGCGACTCTTATTTTAATACCAGTATATCACTTCAAAGACACAATTATTACCAATTACGTACGTCTGAAACATTGTTTGGAGATAGTAATAACTTCAACTTTTTTTTAGTGTAGTTTTATTTTCTTTCAGGTTTTGTAGCGTAATATTTATAATATTTACACTGATATTATAAAAGAGGAAAGAATTGATATTTTTGTTTGAATTAAATAGTCTCCGAAACTACAGAACTGATTTTAAAATTCTTTAACAAAAAAAAAAAAAAATTTTGTTACCGTTTAAATCCTACATTGTCAGTGACGAACATAGGCTATATTTAATAAGAGAAAGGGAACGTTGTCAAAAATTCGATAATGTATCCCCAATGTGTGATAAAACTACCAAAAATCTTTATATTGCTTACGCTGTGGAAATTATAGACAATAGAGCCAAGTGATGTACTAGTCTCATAGTGGACATAAAAGTCCACAATATTATATGTCTAACTATTGCCTAGTTAGTACCATAACAACTACTTTTTCATCTAAAAATGGGCTATAGTAACATCGCGCCGGTACAAACATTATTAAAACCCGAGTAATATCTCGGAAATCCCAGAATAACGGGGACCATGTGTTAAGTTCCGGGACTTTGTGTCTTAAACCATTGAACTTATTTGAGTGAAATTCAGTACAACGATGGTTTTAGGCCGGAGAAAGGACGTTTGCCTTTTATCCCGGAAATCCAACGGGCACGGGAACTAGGACTCTAATCTAACTCTCAAACCACTAAACAACAATTTGAGACAATGGGAAGGACGTATTATAGTTCTGTTATTATAATATCATTGTATATTATATATTTTTATTGTTATTCTATTATTATTTCCATATATTTATTTAAAATTCTCTATAAATAATATTTCTAAATACTACTTACAAAATTAAAAAAAAAATATTTAAAAATATAAAAAATAGGACCCGACCAGTAGCGGGAGCATGGTCCAAGCTACCGGTGGTTAGGGCTCCAGAGACAGAAATATTATTATTATCTATTATTATATGTATTACATTATAACAATAGTCACGGGCAAGTGCTGAAAATCAGCGCCGCGACTCGAGCGCACTCGGGTCACGGCATTTAAGCTGAGCTTTGGCCTTTTCGCGCCGTCTTCACTGTTTTAATTATTTTTTTGTTTATTATTGTATTTTGTGACGGGGTGCAAATAAACAATTTTTCTTTCCTTCTTTTATTCCGGAAATTCCACGGGACAAGAAGTATGTGTTAAATTCTAGGACTCTAAATCACTGAACTTAATCGAGTGAAATTCGTACAACGATAGTTTGAGACCTGGGAAAAGAATTATAATATATAGTTTCTTATCTCGGAAAACTCACGGGAACGGGAACTGTACCTTAAAAAATCGTGACTCTCTCAATCTTCTATAATAAGTTGCAAATACTTCTGTATCACGGAATGAAATTCGGCACAACAATAGTTTGCGACCCGGGAAAGAACATACAATATTTTTTATCACTAAAACCTCACGGGTAAAACCCCTGTAGGGTTGTATATTTTTTAAAACCACAAAAATTAATTTATTTCATAAATAAATAATTACGTATACCTTAGGCACTGCATTGATTCTGATGAGATTTGTTACACAACATAACCTAGGTAGAGACTAATTCAGAAACCCAAATTTTACGTCAAAGTCATGATTATACGCGGACAAACTCGCGGGGAACAGCTAGTTAATATTCTCTTTACTTCACGTATATTATTTTGAGATGCGAATATCATCGTAAGTCTCCTCCCGCCACAGGGGAGGCGAGAAGTGCCCCGGTAAACCTAGCGGTTTTACGTAGTTAACCAAGTAATTGGTAGCATTGATTTATATTGCGTTTCAAGTTTCCAACTTACAATAGGTACGAACGTCAACTACACTTATACGAACTGATGCTCATGTCATGACAAGTACAGCTGACACACAACACGATACACGTGTTGTGTGTTTCCAACAACATTTATTATCGTAATTGTTATCATTTCTTTAACGTTATTTACTTATCTTATTATTGTTTACTTAAAAGCGTGCAAGTATGAAAACAATCCTTTTTAATAAGTCTTTACCTATGAAAT